TGATGTGCAGGAAACAGGGAGCACACGGGAAGTTCGGGCAAGTGAGCTAGACTAGACTACAAATAGCTTCAGACTATTTGCCTAGGAATCAGTATCTGCCCTTTTCTATACGTTGGGAAGGGGAAGTCACATTTTCCCATTTCTAATAATGTAAATCATGTGTTCTTTGTGTTTGGTAATCTTTAGCCACTCCTAAAATTGGTCCCTGTGGCACCTAGCCATCCCACAGGTTGGACTCATTCATGCATCGTTTCTCCCTTCTTTCCTTGGCACATCCCAGCCCTCCCTGCCAACTGGTACGCTGCTGCTGCTGCACACAGAGCCAGGCTAACCTCGTAGGCACTGCAAATGCTTAGCCTGATCCCCTTCATCTTCCTGAGGGGTTTTCCTTGAGGATCTCTCCGTGTGGGGCTGTGTTTACCCCACTAATAAGGAGCTGAGTTCTCTAGCGTTTAATTTAGGACTCTCAGTTTAGGACTTTTTCTCAGCAATTTTCTTTTTGCTAACAATATCTGCCAGACAGAGAGGAGAGGCTCTTGCCTTTTTGCAGTTGAAACTCCAATCTGACCGGGAGATCTGATGTATTTTGTCATGGTGGCACTGATCTTCATGGCACTTACTGGCAGTCCTTTGAAAGGTGATGAAAACTTCCATATCTGAGCATACTTTAAAACTTTCTGTTTTGAAGAATTAATTTCCCCAGAAGTTCCAGGAAATCAGAGATGTGGGATTTTGTTCAGATTTTGTTTGTCACCGGATGCCCTGAGAACTACCCTGTAGAACACATTTCCTTGGGTAGATGAGTTCAGACATACAGTCAGGTGCTTGTAGCTAAACAGGGTACCGTGCATCACATAGCAAGTACAAGGTAAGCATGTTAAGGTAAACATAATGAAAAAAATGTGACCTAGAGCATTTTACTACACAACTGCTGCCCCCTGAGAACATGTACAAACACAATTACCATAGCACAGTAAATTGCCAAGCCACCCCAATTCGGTTGTAAATCTACATTCCTAGGTTAATTTGCTGTAAGTTTCTCGTTTAGACTCCAGACTCCACATAGGCTGCAGGAGCTCATTGCCTGTTGTTCAGTGCTTGTGCTGTCCTTTATGGCAAAACAGAGTGCAAAGTGCGTGTACAGAGCTACAAAGGCAGAATTGTATTTCCCAAAGTCTCTGCTTTTAGACAGCCTACTCATTATATTTAGACTGTGTAGCCCACTTCCAAACTCACCAGTTTTGGGCCTGGATTAAAAAAAAAAAAAAAAAGAAAAAAGAAAAAAAAATCATTGTGAATCATCATTTGTGCTTTTCCCTAAAGCTGAATGCGCAGTGCCAAAAAGCAAAGACTGGCAGGTGCTGCGGTGCCAAAAGTGTCCTCAAGATTGCTCTTTGCTATGAACTCATTGCTTTTTTTCATCCCTTCCTCCTACAGATCCTCCCAAGTCTTTTTTCATGTAGAAGAGCAGGGAGATGGAGAAACTTGACAGCATTTTCTTTCCTACCTGTGTGTCTTTTCTTTCCTTCTCTGAGGCTCCTACATACAGTTTGGACAAAAGCTAGAGTTCTTGAAGGAAAAAGTGAGATAAGAAAGGAAAACTAACCTGAAAAGCAAGTCAGATCTCATCTGAAGGCCATCATCTTTTCCTGTTACATGTTTCTACAGTGTAGAGCACAAAGGGAGGTCCCTAGAGAGTGATGCATAACAAACAGGTAAATACCATTGCTGCAGCCTCTGCTAAAAAGAATGAAATATGTTTACGGCATCGTGGTAGCTTGTGCAAGTCTGTATTTAGTAACAGTGCTGGCTGAGGACGTTTGTCGGTGTCCCATATTCCAGTTATGGGTAACATACATTCCTGACTCTCCAGGAAGAGTCACATTTTAACTGGAGATTTTTCACTAGTCAGGTAGTGGCTATTTGTCTGTTTTCATTTTTATTTTAGCAAGATTTAATAATCTGGTTAGAGCTATTGTAATTAGTTTACCCTTCAACCAGGGAAATACAAGATATCATGACTGTAGTGGGAGCAACCAGACAAGAATACAGTGCAGCCAGAATTTATCAGCTTCTTAATTAAAACTTGTTCAGGGGGGTGCAGAGAACCATGCTGTCTTCAGCGAGCTGTGAATCACAGGGAAGAAAAGCCAGAACAGAAAGTTGCAATAACCAGAACTGAAGCTTCATTTGCAAATAATGATTTGCAAAATATGGACTACAGCAAGGGTCTCTAACAATTACTTATGAGTAAAATTCACTTTGCAAACTCTCTTCAGGAGTAAAGATATAAGATCTCATAATTTCTCAGCTGTTACTTTTTTATAAAAGCTTCTTCCATCCAGCAACCAAGGAGCTGGATGTCAAATGCTAATGGTATACAAAGCCAATTTGCAAAGACAGTCCTTGCACTTGGAATTAATTTATTCTTTCTAAAGCCAGAGGTGATATGTTCCTGCCCTGCTCCTTCGTGGCTTCTAAGACAGTTATGAAGCCTCCATTCATGGGTGGAAAGTGCTATATTTTGTTGCTTAAACTCCCTGCTAGTTTCTCCCTACAGCTGCTTCATCTTTAGGAAATGATACCTGCTTATTTTGGTCCAAGTTAGGAAAGATGTGAAGGACATTAGCCGCTTTCCAGCAGTTCTCTTGCTCCACAATATTTTGGGAGACTTGTTCCTTTACTGGTTCAGGTGAATTGATCTATTGGGTTCTTCATCTGGATTTAGAAAGAAAATTTAAAACAAGGTATGTTGTTTCTAAGATAATGATTTTGTCCCATTATGAGTTAGCATTGAATGCAAAATAAAATTCGTGGCAGACAGTTAAGGAATTATTCACTTTCCATTTCCTTTGTGGGTTCACACCAGCTTTTTATTACAGCACAGTCGCCTGTGGCACCTTCAAAATGCTTTAAGGCTACTTTGTGTATATGCATTTTTTCTATCTTGATTCAACTCCTCAGCTGGTAATTGATTAAATCACATGACACTTTACTGCTTTGCAGTTGCTAATATGTTAGAAAATTGAGCAGAAGCTTGTTACTATTTTTTCCACAAAAAAAAAAATCATTGGCTTTACATTATTCTTTGAATCTTTTAATTAAGACTAGTCTGAATTGATTCCTGTCACAGGGTGAATTTGCTTGGTTAAAACTGGAACAAAAAGAGCAGATAACATCTCATTTGATTCTTGTGCCTGACATTTTTTGAGTTCCAATTTTCTGATTAAAAAAATAAAAATTGGACAGTTCCTTGTGCTTTTTTAAGAATTAATTTTCCTTTGCACATAATCCTGCTAACATTCAAAGTGCAAGGGCTCCCTGTTTGTGCATTACAATGATAACACAACCTATATGTTTCTAATGTTTTGTTTTGACAGCATCGTATAACATCAGGTTCATATCTATAAATATAATGCTGCTGTGATAAACACGTACTCTCCTATTCAACCTAATATATAGGACCTATTTCTGCCAAGGTTATATGCTAAAATCTGTCAGTAAACTGGTGTACCTTTAGGCAGCTCTAGGATCACTTTTCATTTAAATTTATAGCTATGAACAGACCTCAAAAAGCCATGCTCAAATGTTATCCAAGGCTAGGGGCTAAATGCTAATAACGCTGTTTTTTGGCCTCTTCCAGGAACAGCTGGATCAAAGTGGAACTTCTGTTTCAATTTAAGGAAAAAGCTGAGCGTATGTATTCCGTCTACTTCACATACACATCTTCTCAATATATAGCTGGAACACATAAATTATATTATTGGCGTCCCATCCCGCAGGATAATGCTTTGTTAGAATTTAGAAAAAGCAGAGAATAAAAGGCGCCCCTTCCCTCTCTGTCCTCTTAGAACAGTAGTTTTTAACTATTCAGAATTAGAAACTGTGTGGATATTCCACAAACTAGGAACAGGGAGAAAAGGGATTATTTTGCTCTCCAGATTGTTTCAAAATCTGGAGAAAATAGCAGGTAATTAGAACTTGGGAGCCTGCCTTTTCATATGGCAATTGTAATCATCTAGCTATCCAGACCCTACAGTAATTTCTAGTCAGACCTATTTCCATGTCATTTTATTCATCTCGCTGTATATTACAGAGATATTACAAAATGTATTGTGAGAGTTACAGTCAGTACAGTTAGTAAGCAGAGCATGGACTTGGCAATGCTAGACTCAGTGTGGTGATATTATACTGTTGATAGATTTTCAATAGTGTTAAGCTATGAAACATAGATAACATGATAAGTGATCCTGGAATCATCCAAACCTATTGAGTCCAACCTGGACACAGGAGCACATCCAGCTGGGGATCTGGGGGGGCTTTTGTCTTAGCTTTTTCACAAACTCACTGTCTTTATCCCAATTATGCTTAATCTAAGTTAGGCACAATATCACTGTGCACGTTCTCTGCTGACATAGGCAAATCATATCTTAGGTGATCCTCGGCTTCATGGTGCCTTAAGGTCAGATGAGAAAAACTGGAGTTAATTATCATTTGTCCAGATTCACATTTGAGAAGGCAATGGCTCCATATGCCTCACCTGGCAGACTGTCTTCATATTTCTGCATTCACCGTGGTGTAACTCCTCAATTCGCTTTGTAGCTTCTTGTAAGAGACTGGGGAGGAAATGCTGCCGGGCTGACTGGTGATAGATGATAGCTGGTATCCTATTTAATCTGGGTGCATACCATGCAAAATAAGGTATCACATCTTTAGTTTTTCTCCCCGTTTTTTTTTGTTGGTGGTGGTTTTTTGTTTTCTGTTTTTGTTTTGACTTGGGTGTCTGTTCAATTCATCCTGCTTATTCATATTTCTGTAAAGGTCCCATGTGAGCCATATGCTCTTCCTTCTGCCCATGCTTGTGGGTCTACATTATTGCAGGGATTGAATCTGTAAGCAGCAGAACTTTCTTAGCCTATGGGGGGTTCTCTGAAAGTGTGTGTGTGTGTGTGTGTGTGTGTGTGTGTGCTTCGCTCTCAGGGCCTTAGCAGTTTAATACTGAACAAGTCGGCTGAGGGGGAAGGCAAAGCCATTGCATGGGGTTTCCGCAAGCTCTGTCTGGCTCCTATCGCAAAGCGGAAAAGATGGACTTGTCTTTGGTGAGGACTGTATCAATGATAAAACACATAAGCCAACCGTGGCAGTGACCCATCGCTGCCTGCACGAGGCTCTGCAAGTGTCTGTATTTAATGCACTCAAGGTTAGCTGGCCACAGGCAAGTAGCAAGTGAGCATCTCTCAGGTTTTGCTTCTGTTTTAAACACAGTGTGAGGGTAGCTCTTAAAAGTGCCCTTGGGATTGGTCTCCCAGAGTCCAAAGGTCAGCTCGAGGAATGAGATAACCTCTCACATGAAGGTCATGGTTACATCCTGACCAAGAGGCATGGGGCATGGCACAGTTGTAACACTGTAGGCCTGGTGCCCAATACAAGAGCTTGAGATCTCCCTATGGCTCCCAATTTGTCTGTGTGCGTGCATGGCATTGGTTTATTTTCTGTCGTTCCTAAAAATGCGGTTACTGCTTTTTTCTTTTAACAATGGAGGATCTTCATGAAAGCCTTACGAAATTCAATGTTGAAGGTGGTGTAAATAATTGGGTTGACAGCACTGTTGACATATCCAAGCCATGTAAAGGCGCTATACATTGCTGGGGGGATGTTGCAATCGCAGTGCATGTTCAGGATATGAGTGATGAAGAATGGGAGCCAGCAGATGATGAAAACACCTGGGGAAAAAGGAGAGAGACCGATTTGATTGCTGAAAGCTGGAGAAATTGTGAGACAAACAGAAGAGTAAGGTTCCTTAGGGTGGTAAAGAGATTCCTTGAGCAATAAGCCTTCAGTTTATCTGTTAAGATTCATAGCCTGTATTCTGATGATCCATGCACTAAAAAGCTTCTCTGCTGATCTAAGTAGATCAGTTAGAACAGAAACTGGGGCCACTTTGATGTTGAACTATATTGCCTTTTGTGCTATAGCTGTATTTAAAAGCGCAGGAGGTCTCTAGACCATGCACCTCACTGTCCTTTGGCAATCAAAATGTTCTACAGCTGGAAGGCTTTGTGCCTTTTGTACACCAATGGAATACTTTTCTGGAGGGGAGGATTTGCAGCTGGAGGCCACTGCAAATTACTTATACCTCCATCATTTCTCCCTGCATTCTACCTCTATTTTGTATCTATTTGAAAATGTTGTGGGTTTTCCTTCGGTCATTCCCTTCTGCTACATGTCATATGCCTGGTCAAACAGTTGGATGCCCAGGCCCAATACTTAGTCCTGGGTAGCTATTGGCTCTCCACAGAAACACAAAGTGGAAGTCAGCGTGCGCTCTTACCAAGTACAATGGCCAGCATCTGAGTGGCTTTCTTTTCCTTCTGTTGTGACAGTTTCCTCCTGCTCACAGTCTTGAGAGAGGTCCTTGTCTTTCCATTGGGCATAGACTGAATCTCAAAGACCTTGGCTGTTTGGAGGGTTTCTTTGGCATGTCCATTTTTCTCTACTTTCACAGGGCTGTCCAAGGTTGCCTGCACAGTTGAATTGGTGCACTGATTGGAAGCAACTGGCACAATCAGCTGATGGTTACTTGGTGCAGCTGGTTTGAAAGTAGTCTTCTCGGGAGGACTGGTGCTGGACATCATGTCCATTTCCATCTCTTCTATGTGACTCTCTGCCTCCTGGACAAGATTGAAATACCCACAACAGAGAAAGAGAGAGAGAGAGAGAGAGAGAGAGAGAAATATACAGGGAGGAGTAATGAACAATTCTTGCAGGGAAAAGCTGGATGCTTGTTGGTGAGTCATCAACCTCCTTTGTTGCCCTCTACCTTTTTTGGCAGATGCTTGGCTGTTAATCGTTCACATAAGAGAATATCTTTGGGTAGATAAGACTGGCAGAACTGCAGTGAAGGGCACTGACCTCTTTATTACACAAAGGCTAGGAAATAGGAGAGACATTGCCTCTGTGCCCTCATGTATTTCAGCTAGGTTTTCATAAAATGAATAGATAAATAAATCAATAAGCAAAACTCAATAAAGCCAATGCAGTTTCAAGCCATAGAAGAAGAAGAAAATCAAAGGACACAATTGTTAAAATGTCATGGCTTTTATAGCTGATCTTTAGGTGAGCTTAGTCTGGCTTTTTGAGCTTTCTGATCTTAAACCTTCTGCTTTACTCTGAGGAACAGGAAGAATATTTAAATTACCCTATTGAATGTTAACCTTTGCTCTTAGCTTATTTTTCTCCCACCCTACATACATTCATTTTTTATCCTGAAAGGGAAACAGGGAAAGCTGAAAGCTCTGATAAGCTACTGCTTCTCTTCAGCACTCACCACTTTGCGCTTATTAACTTGGAAACTCCCATTGGACTTCACAATAACTGTGCAGAGCTTCACGTCTTCTGGATGCATGCATTTGTCCTAAGGGGCAAGCATCAGCTCAGAGGTTACACAAGCAGATAGTAATTAGGAAGGGAAGCTGGTAAGGGAGGAGATATAAACATAGGGAACAAAGCAGAAATTAATTGGTGTGACTATGGCACTATAAGTGTTGAAAGAGTGCTCTGAAAAAGAAATAATGGAGGCAGGTATCCCTGGTGCTGGGAAGGAAGCTACAAAGCTCTGGCCATGTTTCAGTTCACCCTTGTCTCCGTTTCCTTTTCCTCAAACGGAACAGGTTTCTAAAGCAATTATTAGGATGTAGTTTGAGGATGGTGTCTCTGTGGCTATACATTCCTACTAGTCATTTTGTACACTTCCTGGACTGGCACTCTGATAGGCAGTCTCACACTTGACACGCTCAGCCTCGTTTCACTTATCTCATGCTTCTCATGCAAGACTGGTTTTTATAGCTGGATTTCAGCAATACCATACCGGTCAAGTAGTTTCTACAACTACCAAGTAAGCAATGCTGATAGAGCATTTTTGTCTTGATCAGTGGGGCTGACACAGGAAGTGATGAAATCTATGGGCTGCAGTGAGTCCTAACACCAACCCCAAATCAGCAAAATCAAAGGAAACGGGGTCTGCCCAAAGAAGCCGTTCCTAGCGCGGAGCTGCTAATAATGCATTCGCTGAGATCCAGGCAGGCTTGTGGAGCAACCAGCCATTGCTTCCCAGTGACCTGGCAATCCCTGTGTGCAGCTGGGGTTCCCCAATAGCATCGGACACAGCATCCGTCTTTGTGAGCCAACATTGCCTATGCTCCAGACAGTATCGTCCAAGGAGAGGAGGACATGCTTCAAGGAAGGAAGTGGAGAAGGAAGGGAAAAGGATGGAGGTGGGTGAGAGCAAGATAAAGGGTCTCAGTACCTTCAGCGGGGCCTGGGTGTTAGAATCCAGGGCATGGGTGCTGCGCTTGGTGTTGACGCACTTCCTGCGCTTCCGGAGCACTATATAAATCTGTACATACACCAGCAGGGTGACGATGAAGGGAACATAGAAAGAGACGACAGAGGAATACACAACGAAGGCAGGATTGGCAATAATACACTCCTTCTCATCTGGAAGACAAGAAATTTCAGGATCATGGTCTCAGCTGTGAAGAGCTCGTACTCGCATTCCCGTGCTTTCTCTCTGTGCCAGAAAGCGCCGAAGTACCCAGGGAAGGAGGGGCTCTGGGGGGGACCATCATGCTGTGTGTGATTTCCTTTCCTGCGTCTCAGTAAAGCTGTTTGTCACATGCCTTTCTTTGTCACATATGTTAATATAATAGTCATTTTTTAGTGATATTTTTTGATAGCATTGACGAGTGTTATGTAAGCTTCTACATAACCTCTGTTCTGATGTGTCTATAGCCCTAATCTGGGACAACAAGAGATGAAACATATTCAGAAATGACTGAAAAATGGGAGAGGACACTATAAATAGAGGGATGCATTCTGTTAAGCATAAAACCTGAATCCCATATTTATTTTGAGTTTTGTAACAGAAGTTCATCTGGGACTCGGTAAGGCCAGAGAGATGCTGATAGCTAGCTCTAGAGAATACAACACTCACCTGTATTATTGAGGCCAAACAGGATTGGGCAGGAGATGGCAAATGAAAGCACCCAGACCACAGCAATCATGACAGTGACTCTGCGCTTTGAGCTGTAACGGGTGTTGTACAGCATTGGCATTGCTACAGCTGTGTACCTGCAATGTGAAGAAACACACCAGACTTTTTGTTATTCTGCTGGGGCTGATAAATCCTGTGGGAAATTATTTCTAGCTACTGTGTCCAAAAGTCAAGTCCAGAAAGAGAATATAGAGAAAGCCAGATTTCATGAGTCTCCAGGTTTCCTGTTTTGCAAAGCAGGAGGTTGAGGTAAGCCCAGCATTTCTCTTTCATGCTCTCTGAGTCTTCCTATGGGGATCTGTTTCATCACTTAAGTATAGAAACAGAAGGTTTGATCTGGTAGGCATATACACAAACAGGTTAAATTCAGTTTACATTTTCAAGGTTAGTGCTGACCGTTTTTTTTTTTTTTTTCTAAATGTCATCTCTCCAAAGGCTTCAATAGCCTCCAAAACACTTCAGCCAGTCTAACTCTCACCATTGTCAAGTCTCAGAGAGACAGTTGAATTCAGGCCACATAAAGATGACCTTGACCACACTCTTGAGTGCTACACAGGCCTTGACAAGACTCGCTGCAATGGAGCCCTCACCTGTCAATGCTGATGGCACAGAGATTGAGGATACTGGCAGTACACATCATAACATCAAGCGTTACAAAGATGTCACAGTGGATTCGACTGAACTTCCACTCACCAACCACCTACAAAGAGAGAGAATATAGTCAATAAAAGTAGTCACTGAGAAAGCACAGCTGAGAGGGTCTAAAGGGAAAATTTTGCATAGACATATAAAAACTATTGCTAGTTTAGGAGGGATCCACACTTTGTCCACAGAAGTTTCAGTTTCAGAAGTTTCATATGCAGTCAATCACACTGCAGTGCCAAGAAGAATCTTCAGGGTCTTTGTGTTGCCTGGGAGAAGGGTCTGGAATGATGGAACTGCCACAGACAGAGTGTTCTGGTCCATTTGAATCATAGTTTAGAGCTCTTTCCCGAGGGCTAGGGTGATTTCATCCTTGCCAATGCCATCCTGTTATTCTGTATTCTGAGCTGGGCAACCCATAAGGGAAACACAAACCTGGCCTCACATGCTCCAGTGACGTAAGAGAGCACAGGTCTCCTCAAAGTCAGCATGAACTATGTAATAGCTTAAACAGGTTTCTAAAACGTTACAAAGAAGTAACAGAAAGGAAATACATTAATTTTATCTCCCTAACCCCTCTAATTGTATTTACAGCCTTTCATAAGATACCTTTTTTTTTTTTTTTTGCAATTACACCTAGCAAAGATAAGTAATAGAAAGCAGGTGCTTTGCTTTGTTTCTTTTGTTTTTTTTTTTAAGTCAAGTCAGAGAAGAAATTCCTCATACATTCCTTTTCACAAACAAAATTGATTTAATTCAGAGTGAAAACTCTGTGACATGTATTACATAAAGTAATAAGGACAGAGAACTAATACGAACATTTGAATTACCAGTAGGCTTTTTATCTTCCCTTATCTTTCTACTGAAACCAAAATTTACAGTTAAGTTTAACAGCAGTTATTAGAACTACTGTATTTGGCATGCTATGGGGAAAAAAAAAAAAAAAGTTTTTTTTCCCTCTAATATAAATAGGTTCCTACTGCACTTGAAAATAATGAAAAGACAGCTATTCTTCAGTTATTTCTGCTCTGATATACATAACCATGGGCAGCATAAAGAAGAAAGAATGACTGCATTGAAGTCTGAGTGACAGATGAATACACAGTGATTAAAAAATCATTTAGAAGACGAAGTCACATCAGTAACTGCATTTGATTAGAATTTGCCCAAAGGCAAAGGTTTCCTGCCAGATGTAATCCCGCATGGCAATCAGTTTCATGAACTCATAATTATGAGTTTATGGGAGATGCTGTAAACTGCAGCAACTCTTTTCTCCTACTTTATGCAATTATGCATGGGAAATTCCAGTAGTTTGGAGGTAGAAGATTTATTTCCAACAGAGATGATTTTGTAAAAGGATTTACAGTGTTTTGATATCCCTTTGTCCCAGCTTGTGATAGACCCTGGAAACCATTACGCTCTTTGCAGAGCAAAGGATTTTGGCCACTTATGATTGGAGACTGCAAGCGCAGAGAGGAATCACAGTGTCCCTAACACTGAGCGAATCTCTGTGAGCAAATACTGACATGTGTCTTCAAGTTGTGGTAGATAGGACTGGGTTTAGCAGAGTGTGGATAAGAGCAGTCAGGACTCTTAACCAACACAAAATCTTATCAATGGTGAGATACGCAAGTCTAAGTTTGTCCTCCTTGGTAGATTAATGAGACTAAGCTTCCTAGCCAATTCCATGCACACACAAACCCAAAAGGAGGAAAGCATCTTCCATACTAAACTAGGGGCTGTCTGAAAGAGTCCTAGTCAAGCATAAGAGAGTGGGATCTTCTCACAGAAAGAGCCTGTGGTGAAAATGGGTTGTTGCAAAAAAGGAATACAATAGAAGAGTGTAACTAATCCCAGCGGTATTAACCGCAATCACTACTAGCCTGGGGTCATGTTAATAAGCTGTAGCACATGCACAGTGCTTTACATTTTTAAAGTGCCACACAAACAATAATTAGCTAGAGTGATAATTAGTATTGTGGATTCTCAAGAGCCTGTGTCGTGTCAGTAGGTTTGTTTTGCTTTGCATTTATGTTTAATAGGCTGGTAATGGCTTCTTTTCCCTGTTCTCCTCCTTTTCTCATCTTCTCTCCAAAAGAAATTACAATAACTTGACAGTAGTTTCAGCCTTTTTGCTTTCTTGTCACCCTTCATTCTCTCATGGTCACTTATTCTGGTGCAAAATTGCCCCAACTTTTGGGCTAACTGAAGAACAGGCAACCCATGCACCAAAAGGGCCAAGGGAATAAGGGTCATTCAGCCTCTGTTCCCCTTTCCTTTCAGATTTGCCTTTTCATTCTTTCCAGTTCTTTACTGTATCAAGAGTCATTTGCCATCAGATAAACATGTGGCAGTCTTGGGAATACTTGGTTTTCCCAAACAGTGCTGCTCAAAACAGCTCTGTACGCAGAAGCATAGAGCTCCTTTTTCATGAGAGTACCTCACTTATGGTTCTGTTTCTCTTAACATATTGTGACATAATAGATCTGCATTTGTATCCTATTTACACAATTCCCTGCTTTTCTGAACGCTGTGGTCCTTCACAATATGCTTTTGATTGCTATTGGCTGCAGTTTATATTAGTGTGACAGCCATTGCATTGCTGCAGATTCGTTCTCATGGTTGAGAAGGCAGTTTGTGTAGTTTCAAAAGAAAACTCAAGGTCCTATCACTTTTGAACTGTCTATTTAAAAGACAGATTGCCAGTGCAATTGGGTTGCATTTTAGCCTTCTGAATTTTCAAATCAGCCCGTCACTTGCTACCATTTCCTGCAAAAATCTAACCAATTGTGAGGAAAACAAGAAACATTTTCATTTTGTGACAAGTAGGAAGGCTGGAAATTTACTTGATATCCAGGCAGCTAAACCTCCTCTCTCACTATCATCCACCAGAAATATTTGGTACTGTGAAAGAAAACTCTACCACCTACCTCCAGATAGACCACCCAAGGCATGACCAGAAGTGCCAACAAGAGATCTGCCACTGCCAGACTGACAATCAGGTAGTTAGTGGTAGTCTGAAGGGCTTTTTCCCTGGACACAGCCATGCACACCAGCACATTGCCGAAAACAATAACGAAGATGAGGAGAGTGAGCAGCATGGCATAATAGTTGTACTGAGGCTTCTGGTCTGCATTTGACTCATTGAGTGGCTTGCTCCAATTCCTGTTGCTGATGTCACCACTGTACCAGGAGAGGTTTAATGGATCCATGTATGTAAAAGTGCCACGTTCCAGCTCCACCCTGCCACAGAGAAGATGTCAAAAAGACAGTCAAAGGCCAAAATCTAAAACAAAGCTAAAATCATCTAATATGTGCTACCTCAATACGGAGCCTTATTGCCATCGCATAAGCTACTAGGTCCTGCAAGGAGCGCAATGTTAAATGACCTAACAGGGAAACTACAGGGCCAGATGTGGAACTGTAGGTGGTGTCTTGAATAAGGCCATGTTACCCGATTTGTCTGTGCCTCAGTGACTTCGTGAAATACTTTGGAGTGCTGAAATAGTTCTATAAGAGTTGAGCTAAGAATAAAGACAGATGTTTCTCCTGCAATAGCTGAAAAATGATCCTTTACAATTTCAGAGAGAGAATTCAGAAAAAAGTAGTACAATGGATGATATAACTCATGTTTCAAAAAATTTTTAAAGGGGGAAAACTGACACATTAATTTTCTGAGAACCTTTCTCTTTTGCCATAGTGTCTATCCCAATTCCAAATGAAAATACAGAATTGCCTAATTAGCATAGGTTATAAAAAAACAAATGGTAAGCAGATAACAAAACATCTTGATTCCAGGCTCTGTAGAACCATCTCTGGGTGCACATACACACACACATACACACAAGCATGTCCTCGTGTGATGATAGCTAATGTTTTTTCCCTCGATGGACCTGTTTACATCCCTGACTCTCACATTCATGCAAATGACACAGAAACATCATTATTTACTGCTTTTTCAGTGAGTAGTGCTAACTTCTGAGCTGCTGAGCAGTCTCAGGTGACTCTGTATCTATTATCCATGATCCTTTCGAGAGTTTTCTTCTGTAGCCAGTTCCTGAACACCTACGTGGGAATATTATTCCAGATTGGTTTAACAGCAAAAGTACAGCAAGTAACGTTATAAAGCAGAAATTCCCTTTGAATCCCTGTGCGAGGCTGGTTTAAAGATTTGCTTTAGCAAAGGCTATATATGGATGCAGGGCATTTTAAAGCAACCTATTTAAAGCATCAGACACTATCAGCACAAAAACGAAGAGGAGTTAAGCGAATATATTTATTTTAGAGAGGATAGCCTTTATGCCTCTAATAAAAGCTTAAGTATCAGTCAGATTTTGACATGTTCCTAATTTCTAGGTGCAAGCGTGTAATCCACTAATCCACTCAGTAGCACTCACAGTGGGATCAAAAGGCACCTTGATGCTATTTTGGTCTGACATTGTTAGATAAGGCCTAGCTGACTAGGCAACCCACCACACATACCATAATCCTGTTTTCCAAATTATATCCTGCTGTCTATGGCTAAAGCCCATATAATGGCCTTGTGAACTGCAAAAGCCACTGAGAGGTCTTAATAAAATCGTGGAGCCTCTGTGGAGGGTGCCTCTGTGTTTTAAGGCAATGGGTTTTGTCAGACTGGGTGGCTTCTTGTGTTTCTCTTCAGGGTAAAATGGGGCACTTCGCACCATGATTCCACTGCTGAGTCTTCAGCAAAGCGAACGATGCTCATATCCTCAAGAGGCCTCCTAGGCAGTGTAGCTCCTGTGCAGGGACAAGCTGGTCCCACAAATACAAGGTATCTCGTTTTCCTTCTCTTGTTTGTCACTGTTACTATGTTGGATATTAACTAGTGTCTAGATATTTTCATGAGACATGGAAAATTCTAGGCCAGCTCCTTTATCACTGATGTGCTAATTTGCTCACAATTTGAAATACTGGGATGGATTCATTGCTATGTTTTTGTTATTGATTTTACAGTTCTGTAATCATTTAAATCAATGCAGATGCATTGGAGGAAGGTTATTATGTGTTAACCAATTACTGTTGAAATGGATTGCTTTTGGAAGTAGTTGGTTCTAACTCAAGAAATCACATCAAGTTTTGACCTAACGTACCCATTCTTTATTCTGAGTATGTTTGCACCTTGAAATTTGCATTTTTGAAAGAAAATAAAAATATTAGCACAGAGAGGTGGAGGTTTTTTTTACACTTTTATAGCCCAAAGCCAAAGCTGGAGTAAATGTATATGTTCGAGAAACATTTACACTAGTCCGTGAGCAACTAGAAGATAAATATCAAGTGCCCTGGAGATTTAGTTATGAAACCTCTCCACCTTTCCGACTTATATGAATATTGGTATATATAAAAAAAAAAAAAAAGTTTTGAAAAGCTCTGTAAGGAGGCTTTCTGATGGTATTTCAGTAGCTGTGTTTCCTGGTCAGGTGCTCAAGAGAAAAGAAGTAGGAAAACAAACAACTGTGAATCCCCATGTGTGTTTTGGGGATAGGCATACCTGGGCTCAGAGAACATATTCATGTGCTCTTAATTTTGCAGGTCACAAACACTTCTCACTGCTGTGCAGGAAAGAAACCAAGGCTACTCAATCCTCACTCATAGTGTTTGACATTTTCATTACTTAGGGATCATTGTAGTCAGGTAAATCTATCTTGAGGGCTAGAGTAGTTATGAGTAGCCCTCCGTGGTGAAATGACATTAGAAGGCATCATCCTGGAGAGCTGTGATCCTTTGCAGACAAAGCAATTTCCAGTTGTTGTCAGTCTTGTACCCAGTCTGTGAAATGCACACGATGAAGCAGACTGCTAACTTGTGAAGCTACCCAAGGTGCTACTTGTCTTTCTGACTTTCCCTTTTTGTTCCCTGAGGTCAGGTAAACAGTAAACGGTACAGAGGCCAGCAAGTAGAAAAAACTGTGTAACCAAAGTGCACGATGATATGCAGGTCCATGTCATTCCTTTATACTGGCGTTAAGTTGAAATTACTTCATTCTTGTGATTGACTCCAAGGACAGTAAAGATCGAAGCTATTCTGAGATGCTGTTGACAGGGAAGAACTTATGCAAGTGCAGTCTACGCTGAATATTAATCGTTCATTTACTTGACTGTCACAGGATGTTCCTGCCTCTTGAACAAAGCAGACACGTACAGCAAAGGAGCCCCTGTGATTAGTTCCACGAGTCCAGGTAGAGCCTGCTCTGTGGTTATGCTTGCCAGTGTAGGAGGAGAAGAGCTCTGCAACCATTGCTGAGTTCACCTCCTAATTTAACTGTACTGCATTAGGAAGTGTTCCACCTCAAGCCAAGTGCACTGCAGTCAGAAAGCCTATAGCCTAACAGGTTGTGATGGGGTTTTTTCTTCTGTTTCTCTGCAAGGCATTCCCCACAGGAAGTGGCATTTCCAGGAAGTGCTGGACAGCTTGGCCATGCTGCTTTTCAGCATCGTAACATAGTCTGCAAAAAGTCAGTGTAGCTCTAACTCTTCCCCCGCTTGCATCACCTCTGTGGTAGTTACACTTTGCACAAGATAGATTTTCAAGATAGGGAACAGACTTGGTGGCTCAGGGTAAGAGTTAAAGCCGTCTTAAAGGAAAAATACCTTTTCAGTCCCACCTTGCAAGGATGACAATGAAATATCAGAAAGACTAAAAAGGAGTATCACACAATGCCTTGAAATTATCTGATCTGTTTTAATAATATTAATTTTCTAATGCTAATCTGTGCGGCATCTGTCAAGGTATTCAATGGCAATAACAAAGGCCTCAAATGGGGCCTTCGTGAAATCAGGTATTACTTAATACCTGATGCATAACCCTGCTCCTATCCCAGTCAGTTAAAATGAACAAGTAGCTTTCTCCCTGGGAAGAGAACACCTAACAGTTGAGTGCAGTGGCTATCTTCATCACGAGCTCCATACGGGAGTCTCAGAATTCTCCAGATGCCCTTTGCCCTGCCCTGAATTCCAGTGTGCAAGCGGTTGGCTGACTGGAAACAGGATGAAGACCCAGAGGGGAGGCTGATCTGATGGTCAGATACCTCGAGGGCGGTTCAAGAAGTCTTACACCCTTTTCAGTTCTTTCCTCACCTTTCTGTGGTCTGCCACCCTACTAACTGTGCTGCGGCTGAGTCAGGTAGAGTGCCTGAGATTTTTGCACAGGCTCCCTATGATCAGCCCTATCAGCTAAATGCTCCCATGGTTCAGAGCAGATATGCTGTGACCTGCTTTGTTTATTTTTCATGTGTTGCTTGGGGCTTTGGGCCGGATTCTTTTTTTATTTTTCTCTGCTCTCTTTCCTCCAGCAGGGAAATAAATAATCGAAATAACCACAAGCTGAATGGTGACGATAATGGGACTTGACAGTAGAAGTTTAGGTTATTCAGGTCAGCCTTGGACCGTGCCTGCGTTCTGCAGTTCCTCGAGTGAGGTTGCAGTGCAAAGGGTGAAATGGAGAGGGCAGGACTGGGTGCCCTCCTGGAGCCCAGCTTCTTCAGCTCCTGGCACTGGGAAGGCAGGTTTTATTTGAAGTCTGGGGCATCACAGCAAGCCTGCTCCTCAGCCTGACTGGTCGCCACGTGCCATGCACAGTTATTAAGGCAGTATATAAACACATTGTGCTTGTTGGCAGAGTACCCTAAAGCCTGTTTAAGTTCTCCTGTTTGCTGTGACCCCCAGGCACACCAGAGAGAACTGCAATGTGAATCTTAGGTGGCTTCCCAGGAAGCCCATGCCCAGCTTTCCTGCGTGGGCTCAGGCCATGCAAGATGAGATCTACAAGCAGAGTGTGCCCTGATTTTTCAGCTAGCAATCACAAATGGGAGCAGAGTCAGGCTGCTCTGCATCCCCTTCTGCATTAACCCTGTGGTACCTTTTGGCATTGCTAAATGACAGCTCCACTCACAGGACGATTTCTTGTCACTCAAGGCCACATTTATGCACTGCACATTAACCACATTGCTCAGCTGTGCAGCTGACAGCAAGAGGCCTGCACCTGAGAAGCCTTCCATGGGCTATGGATCTGGCCCATGATTTACATCCATTTCTTGAGGTCAAAGAGGGAGAAGACAGAAATGAGCTTAATATGGAAATGATATATAAAAAATGCTGCTGCCTAGAGAGGCCTGCGAGTTACTAGCTTCAAATGCAGACAGCAAAAAGCCACTCTCTGCCAAGGAAGATACACAGAAAAGCTAAAGGGCAGGGGGTGGTTTGTGAAAGGAAGACTGTGAGTTT